ATATATATATATATATATATATATATATATATATATAAGTGGATAAAAATCTCATTAAATTGAACTCTTCCACAATAATTCATGGTGCACTTCTCATGTAACGTGTACAGCAGAAAACCACATGACCTCATTTATTTATGTCACAAAGCTGGAGATCCTCCACTCCTTTGTTTCTTTCGATCCTTCCTCTCTTTTTCTCAGGTCTCCACTTTTTAATCATGTGAGCCCTTCTTGCACTGCTTCAGAGGCTCTCCTGCCTTTGTGCTCATACCTCACTACCCTCAGGTTTATTATATTTGGACTTTCTCTTTGGGTCTCCATCACCCATATAGTGGAGACGGTCATTTCTCCCCTTATCTACCGTTAATATTTACCAGAGCAGACGATGTTTGGCTTCAGACAGATGAACCTTTGTCAACAACACAACTTCAGTTTATGTCCATTGGCTCCTTGTTGGACTTGCACTTATCTCTCTCTTTTATCTGTTTTAATCTGATTGCAGTACAGTATGTTTCTCACCACGGCGCCACCCCTCCGGCGAGGGAGCACCCCCCTGCCTGTCAAACACCAGCTGCGGAGGGAGGAGGCCGTGTCCGATGACTGCGATTGGATGCCGGGCTTGGAGGAGCCTTCCACGCTGCCTATCAGTGGCACAGCATTACCTCGGGACGAGTCCTTTAGTCAGTCAGCAGCAGCCCAGCCAGCGTACCAGAGCCATGGTGGGGCTCTGAGGATAGTGCTGCTGGGACAGAACGGCGTGGGCAAGTCATCGCTCGCCTTATCTCTGGCTGGACAGTCGGACGGATCCCTCTCTATAGACTCTGAGACACAAGCTTGTGGTAATAACCTGAGCAGCAAACTGTAAAAAGATGTCTTAAAATTACCATACCCAAACACACAAGAGTTTATTTTCTGTAGTACAGTAGTCCCTCGTTTATCACGGGTGATTCGTACCCTGAATTCCCACAATAAGTGAAAAACTGTGAAGTAGGAATAGTAGTACAAGTAGTAGTTTATTATATATGTATACGGTTATATATATATATATATATATATATATCTATATATATATATATATA